GAGAGAGAGAGAGAGAGAGAGAGAGAGAGAGAGAGAGAGAGAGAGAGAGAGATCAGTGTACAAACCATAAAAGGGTCAAGCGCAATTGTTGTTGATATAGATGCCACTGTTGTTATTGTCTTGGTCGCTTCTCTTGATACTGCTCTGATGACATGGTTTCATTCATTCTTCCCTGCGGATGAAAACACGATCCATCAATCTCGTCTATCTTGACATGCCTGCGTATGGATAATCTGATTCGTCAGGTACCTGCAGGCGAAGTGGAAGGAAAGCTGGCGAGGCGAGCTTGTGTTCAGTGCGGTCGTGCTTCCCCTCGTGTGCCCGCAAGCGCCCACGCAGACGAACGCCTACGACGGCGGAGTGTACGTCCTGCGCTTCGCGAAGGCACGCTCCAGATTGTGCCCATGCATGGTTTGCACACTCGCCGCTCGTAGTTTAAGGAATACTGGGCTGTGCCGCTTTCTTGGAGTTTAGTCGTGGATGCACGTATATATTTGTATTTGTGTTTTTTTCGTCGTTTTGATCCCTCTCTTGTTCTTGTCCGAAACATGCTGCCGCGTGGACCCACACTAATTCACCGCTACCCGGGTCACTCTTTGTTAGTTTCTGCATCGCAAGTCAATACGTCGTTTCTTGCCTTGTTTTTGGTATTAATTCAGGATAGTTCTCGAGTGTAGTGTGTATTTCTTCAACCATGGCATCGCAAGCGAAAAGCGGGTGACCAATGACCAGGCGTCAGTTTGATTTCTTCGTCATGGTATGTCTATAGACTATGTGTGTTTTTTATTTTCAGAGACTTTAGGAGGAAGCAGTTATTTCTTGATCTTGTGTATTTTTTATTTTCAGAGACTTTAGGAGGAAGCAGTTATTTTTTGATCTTCGTCTCGATAGGGGGTCCGCGTTCCACGACCCTGTTCTGTTCAGAAGGAGTCTTGGTGCTGTAGTACAAACCCCGACTGTTCGTCCTTGAGGAAAACTTCGGATTGCGGTCTTCTACGATTACGCCCGACCCAGTGCTTATGTGTTCCGTGTTTGTGATGATTGATGCTTGACCACATAGGTTTCCGTTGCAGGAGATCTGCTAGAAGTGGCCGGTGGTGACGGCAGCAGATGTCAACGATGGGATGCAGGCGCATTTCAATCTGCAGCTCTTCAACGCCTCCGACATCACGGAGGAGCGCCGTATGCTCGGGAAACTGGTGTAGGACTGCAAGTAAGCACACCCATTGTGGTGTTCCCGTCCATTGTCCCTACTGTAGCATATTCATATCACCACCCCGGTATCTCAGTCGGTCCCTCGTTGGTCACACGTACCGTTTTGGCGATAATTGCTATTCTGTCCCCCTCCGATTGTCTTCGATGAACGGTGTCGAAGGTAAAGGTTTGCGCTGCTGCTAACCATTGCTACCTGATGGTGTCAGTCCATCTGGTGGCATTGCGGAAAGTTGGTGGCATTGCGGAAAGTTTTTGTTTCGCTCGATGCGTGTGGAATCAATCAACTTATGGCACGAAACATCATACAGAGGGATAGCTTACGCAAGGCAGGGCTTGCGTGTCTTTGGGGGGGTGTTGAAGTCCTTGAGTCTAGGTCTGATGGCGCTGGCTGAAACTACACGTGGGGAAAAAACATCTGATGTGTTGGTTGGAACGGTATTGCGCTTGTGCTGGGACCACTACTGTAGAGTGGTTTCTGCTTTGTGCCCCTGCCTGAACCTCCTCCCCCCCCCCGGTGGTGTTTCGGTTTACCCGCGACCTTCGTCCAACCGAAATGATGCAGGGCCCGCTAAGAACGTGCGGAGAAGTAACAAAGCTCCAAGAAGAGGAGGGCCGGGGACATCACCCACACCAGCTCTAGCAGCGGTTGAGAGGTAGAGGTAGAGGAGTCTCCGCAAACGATGTCGTCCGGTGAGCTGTCGGACGCCTAGTGCTGGCGGTGGAACAGCAAGAACAACATCGATCTTGCCACCCAGCGGTGATCAGTCCTCACAGGCGTACGACGAGATCAGTTTGTTCGTGTTGTTGCGGCGATATCACCGACCAAAGTAAATCTTGTCGTCGCCGGCACCCACGCTGACGTCGTTGACAACAAGGGCACACGCGTTTGTACGATGACTGGACTCTCCCCGAGAACCAACAACTACGATCCTTGGGCGTTACAGACCCAGCGATAAGTTGCTTCGACTTGGACATCACGAGCATGTAGCGTGAACGAGGAAGATTGTTTTGCGCCCATCACACCCACCTCACCCTCTAACCGAACCCTCGCTGGGCTGTCCGACTTCGCTCACGCTCGTCCGACAGAGACGTCGACCACTGGAGTTGAAGAAGAGCAGAAGCCCCAACGCCGCCTACAGCAAGGAGTGCCAAGGCGCTCACAGCACAACAAATAAACCCGCAACGGGACTAGCATGGTTGCGGATCGTGGGCAACGCCCTGCCGGAGTTGACCGGGGAAATCCCTACGTACCAGCGACAATTCCACTTGTACTAGGGACAAACATGGGATTGACAGTAGTTTAGGCAGGCGTAAAGTCGTACGTTTTCCCCTCTTGAAATGTGGGTGCCATGGAATATCGGGGGACAGTCAGTCTTCGTGAAACACAATGTGGTGTGTGATCTAAGTTTTTCATCCTCTGTGTGTGGACATATTTTCCAACCTCTTCGTGCAATAGGGGGGGAGGAAGTTGATACTTCGGACATCTATCATTCGGTACGTTGTTCCATGGCTGAGGCGGTACGATGCATTTTTGGATGGTATGGGCGGTACGGATAGGAAGGCCTGCTGCAACCCCGAAAGAGGTTTTGATGGGTACATGGACCAGGGTTTCGAGCATTTCTAGTGGTATTTCAAATCTCACCGGACTAGCGAAAAAGTCAAGCATGAGTATTCCAAGTTCATCATTGATATTGCTGGCACCCGTCGGTTTGGGTAGACTAATTTGGAGAGGGGTTTGGAACAGCTAGGCGGAAACCCCACCTACGGTTCCGGTGAGTCACCGGGGGCAAGCACTGGTGCTAGGGGACTTCCTTTCGACAGGAGACCCGAGGAGACTCGTTGGTGGTTGTGGGTGTGTCTAATACCACGCTCATGCATTGCCCTGACAATACTCGCACGGCGGAAGGCAGGACGGTATTCGAAACACTGCTGTCATCGAGTATTTTCTTGTCCGTCCTTTTGCTGGCGTTGCAAAAATTTGGAGAGGTTATTATTCGAGCAGGAAGAAACATTGTGCTTGATTATTGTAGGGGTCGAATATTATTTGGGTTGATAATCTGTCGGAAATCTGGGGTCATGAGTGTCAGAAGTCATCGTCTTCGTTGCCACTCCGTGCATGAGAACACGCACCGCTTGTAGCTAGCTGATTGAGTGACGTGACGGATCTACGGTGTCCGTGAAGAAAGGGAAGGACATCAACGGCCGCCCAACGTAATGGCGGCAGTTTACGCAATTTGTCGTTGCTACTGCTACTGTCATCACATACTACCTTCTTCCGATGTATCATGATCCAGCCGCAATGCACTGTCATCCGTGAGGCACCGAACTCCGGGAACATAACAAGCATTCAGCGTTGCACATTGCGCAGATAGACTATCACGCCACGGATGGGGTCCCGGTTCGTACGATCTAGTCGATGAAGTGCCACCGGCTGTCAGTCAGCACCTTCCACTGCGCATGCCGTGTGCGCCGTGAGGTCCCATGTCGTTCTGTCGTGTCCGAAAAGGTGCAATGGATACGACGAGGTCCCATGGCGTGCGATTCTGTTGTGCCCTACAAGTAGCGCACAGAATTGTCCAAGAGTATGTTCTGTAGGATATATACCGGGGGTATTGGTCCGGATATCCACCCTGTTGCAGAAGAGATCTGTAACAGTTTCAATACCCTACAGAATACTTCTGTCAGTCGATGACACTTACAACACTCTGCAGAAAAATTGTGCGAGGTCTGTTTAACGAAGTGATGATACATGCCGGGGAAAATCCGGTGAAAATTCCGGAAAATTGCGGTCAATTCCGGGTTGCGACACGACACTCTCAGTGATTTCTGTACGACCTTTCCACATGCCCGGTATTGCTGTTGACGTCTGTGACACTTCCGATACCGTGCAGAAAACGTGCAGACCCTTCACCACACGCACTTGATTTTTTCGTCCATGCCGCGGTCGATCTGTATTGAGACTGGCTCTTGCTCTTGCTTTCCGTTCCTCGTCTCAATCCCTTTGAGACTGGCTGTTGCTTCAGTGTTTCGAAATCCTCAGCCACCTTTGATCATATTTCGGTATTTTGAAGAGATCTTTCGCGTATTTTGTGCTTGTCAATACCACCTAGGTCTATTCTATGGTGCCACCCCCCCCGTGTGCGCCGTTAAGTTCCTTCCTGTGATTTGCTTTGCAGTTGGATGGTTCGGCTTTCTGGCAGATCTGCTGTCGTCTGCCATGGCCGACTTGTTCCACTGCTCCATGGCCTTGCCATCATTTTTCGTAATTGGCCCTTAACCCTTGACATGGAGATTCAATATTTTTCGAATCCCCACCCAGCAATCGCATTCGCGTTTTCTCGTGGCAAGCGGATGTTTCGGTGGCGTTTCGTCTCTGCTCTGTTCGATTGGCCTTTCTTGCCTGCTTCCACCGGAAAAACCCCTCTTTCGGCGAGTTGTTTCGATGTCCGTCAACCCTTACGGTTTTTCATGTCGATTACATGTGTGCTGTTTCTGTACTTGTGTCTGGTTGCCCCCCTTCCCGTGAGATTTTGGCTTGCTTGATTGAGTACTCGATCTGTTCGTTCGTGAGAGGCCTCTGCTTCGTGCTATGGTCTTCTTGATTCGGATGTTCCGGGTATTTTTCCTACCTCACGTTACATTTTCCCGATTTTTATCTGTCGACTTTGCTGTCCCCGACTAGTCTACATTGTTCCGCTTCCCTAATTTTGCTATCGTGAAGAGGTGCGGGTGGGGTGTTGGGTTGTTTGCACCTTCAATCCATCCCCTAATCCTCTTGATTCAGTATTCCCCATTGCCTCCGTATCTGCATCTACAACCGCTCAGGGTGGGCCACTGTTGTTATGGTTTTCGGACGAAGCCAAGAGATGGTGGGTCACCATGGATATGTAGCGTTGTTGTTAGATGTATTGTTGGGACGTCCTGCAAGATTGCCGCTTTATGCCGAATCTGTTGCCCTTCAGTCCAATGTGCGATCGTGTGCGATCGTGTGCAACTGGGCTTGATCCGTTTGTGTTGAATTTCGGCTGCACGGTGTGCATGCAAGGGGGAAGCAGCAAGTGTTAGATATTCAACATATCCGCTGAATGCGTTAAACAGTCGGCGCTGACTATTTAGCTCGAGGATATGTTGTATTTCTAACAAAAGTACAACCAGGGTTCGAATCCCTCCGGGAGCCATCTTGACGCCTTTTTTCAGGAAAAAGAAAAAAGTCTGGGATACGCACTTGAAAGTCATGGTGCACATGACCAGTCGTCAACGATGAGGACGCATATCCCCGCCTGTAAACCGATGAACCGCTTGGGGCAGCGCTGATTACAGGGATTACAACCCTGGGGGAAAACCAGAGTCCGACAGCCTAAACAGCTGTTCGGACCCTGTTGTACTTTTTTTAGATATACAACACATCCACTGAGCTAAATAGTCAGCGCTGACTGTTTAGCTCAGTGGATATATTGTATATCTAACAGCAAGAACCTGCACCACCTGTGGTCGGAAACGTCCCACAAAGTTCCGAGTGAAGAGGTGAAAATAGCAAGTTTGGTGAGGCAGATATAGCCGATGCAGACTACTGTTTATTGAAATCATCGAAATTGCCAGAGGCGTTTTTGTTCCTGTATTTCGGGGTATCAGAATGGAGAAGAGTATGTTGGAGTGGCCGCTTTCTCGGATAGTTCATATGCAAGGAGAAGGCCTGCTAGAAAGGCGTGCAATAGCAGAACTACATAACATCAGTAATACTGTAGGTGGACTCAGAGAGAGGAATACAAAGGATTGGCAGGTTAGGGGGCCAAGAATTTTTGTTCTTTCCCGCCTACCCACCCTTTTCTTTTGAGGGGAGGGAACGGAAGGAATGCAAAGGCTTCCGTCAATGGGGTTGAATAAATGTTAAAGTACCATTTGGGGACTTGCTCGTCTGCGAGGTTCCGTAGAGTAGAAAGAGTTATTCCCCACACCGGTGGAAAGAGAAACCCCGTCCTGTTTTCTTAGG